ATTCATAGTATGGATGGGGCCATAAAGAAATTAAAAACATTCTCGCTGGTAACTCAGAAATGCGCTTATATTAATGATGAAGGAGAGCATACATCTGAGTTGGCATTTGAGGAGAATCTTTATTCAAGGGCTGAATCAGTAGTTAAAATCTTATCTTCCTTTGTTTTGATGAACCTCAAGGGTAAGTTTTTACAGTTTTAACAAATGAAGGGATCTGATCTACCTGTTACTTACTTTTGCCTTTTTAACTTGTGCATTGTGTAATCTGAATCTGCAGACCCCCAAGCAGAGCATCTTATCCGAATAGCTGCTAGGTTTTACAAGGATTTAGCTCAAATATCAAAGCTTAGAATTGCTCCTAAAGGTTGCAAGCAGATTTTGCCAAGCCTCAAGTTCCAAAAGCTCGTTGAACTAACTTGCAGGCAGCTCACAGCACCCCTGTATAACTTTGTATCTGAGATGCAGAAGGTATTAACCTGAATATTTTATCAGTTATCTGATCTAACAGGATTTTTACAGTACCTGTATTTGTCATTTTCACGACATTCTGACATGCAGGATCAGCCAGAGACTGGTAAGAGTAAGGGTATAATCAACAAGATAAAAAGAGAAAATAAGTGGGTCCCAGATCTGATCTTCCAGATAGAAGATTATGAAAAGTATCTTATCCGGATTAGTAAAGTGAGTAAGATCAATTTATTGAGGCATGCCAAGCGTAGCACTTCCCGGGATTTCAAAATATTAGACATGACAGAGAATGCCAGGAAAAATGATGTCCCAAACCATGAACTTTTACATGAAAATTCTGCTGTTGCTGAAAATGAATCATGTGAAGACTCTGAAGATAATGAAGGAAATGGATCGGAAAAGAACTTGTCACCTGAACCTTGTAGTCCTCTAGCTGCTCAAGATTCTGGATCAGATGGTGAAGTTGGAGGCCTTCTTCCTAGTACCAAGAGGCTGAAGAGGCGTAGGATTGTGCAGGAGTCTGATGAAGAAGAATAGATAGAACGACTGGCATGCCTGCTACCCGGAAACCGGAATATTTGAAAGTAGCATTTCAAATTTCTTAGTTGTCAAAGAAAGGTGCTACCTCTGGTATATTCCACTTGATGAGTATATAAATATCTCATAATTCAAATTATAATTTGCTCTTAGTTCGATAAACATTTCCTCTCCCTGATGTTGATTTTTTTGGTGTGAGATGGTCGTAATATATGTAATATACAGATATATATATATGTGTATGTAATTAAGTAATTGATTTTATTTTATTAATTGGGTTAATTTTTTATTTTAACTATAATGAAAATAGTTACTTCCATGAAGGAACGACGCCGTTTTTAAAACGTTTTCATAAACCAAACGCAACGACGCCGTTTTCAGTTGTTTCCAGATGTATACACACACATGTATAAATGTACGCAGTAAAACTGTGAGAGTCATTTAAAATGTTGAAATATTTTTATGGTTAAAAAAGTAATTTTCTATTAAATAATTAAAATCCGAGAGAGGTGACTGGTGAGAAAGCACTTTTTCTTGGGTTCTTCTGTCCTGTTTCTCTGCTCTCTCTATTCTGGTTTTCCGAAGAAGTAGAACACATTTTCTCAGCAAAGAAGAAAGAAATGAGTGAAGAGGCCACCAAAAGAAGCTTAACCAGTGCTCTAATGGTGAAACCCAAGGCTGATGACCGGAAATATTATCCGGCACCTCCTCCACG